TGGATGATACTTTGAGGTCCCTCCCAACTCTAAATCTCTGATTCTATGTATGACCTTAGACCCTGCCTCAGTATGGGGCCAAGACAAAGGGCCAAAAAATGGCTGATTAACTCTAATTTTGATTCTGTTTTCTCTGCCAAGGAGAATGATCTTTGAATTGGAAAGGACAGAACAAAAATGGCTGACAGGAAATGATGCCCAAGATAAGTTGGGAGCTAATAAAAGGTCACTTGGCTGCTTCTAACAAGGTTAGTTCCCCAGCCCTGATGAGCTACTATGTCCTAGGATATGTGAAAGAAATGGCCAATGTGTTTCCTGAGCCACTGTTGGTGATGGCTGAAAGATCCCGGAGGATGTGAGAGGGGCCAGAGAACTGGAGGGCAAATCTTGTCCTGACTTTCAAAAAAGGATAGAGAATGGAGCTTACAAGCTAGAAGTGAATGAGCTTGACTTGGATTCCTGGAAAATGTCAGTGTTCCAATGAAAGAGGTGATTATGAAACATTCCCCAAAAGATACAGCGATCACTAAAAATGAACCAGAGTGATTTCATGAAAATCTAGTTGTTCAGACTAAACTCACCTGCCTTTTGATAGTGACTAGATTGGCAAATGAAGTTCATGTGTAGATCCAGTTTTTCTGGATGTGACCTAAGCATTTGATCCACTCCTTCGTGCTATTTTTGTGAAAGAGATGCAGACTCCAGGATACTGCTGTTACACAAAAGACTGACCCAGAGAAGAGCTGTTAATGGCTTAATGTCAACTAGGAAGGTGGCACCTAGAAAGATGAGGGCTATGGGCCGGGAGCTGTGCTGTTTCCCATTTTCTCCCATCACCTGGATAAAAAGATGGATGGTAGCGTTGGCAAATTTGCAGATAGTGCAAAGAAGCGGTTGACACAGTGGATGGGAGAAGGAGACCGGCTTCAATAAGATGTACAGGGCAGAAAGCCGGGCCAAATCCAAGAAGTCAAAATTCAATAGGACTAAATGTAAAATCATCCAGAGAACCAGAAATTCAGCATCACAAATGTGAGACACTGCTCCACAGAGCAGTTCACATAGAAAAGATTGGCTTTTAGTGGATGGCAACTTGGATGAGTGGATAGGAGACACGGCAGCCTAGAAGGCCAATGGCACCTTGGGCACCAAGCATTGCTGCCTTGTGACAGACACCGTGCCAAGTGCTGAAATTAGCCATAAAAGGCATAAGGAATAGAATGCATTTTAACCTGACCTGTACTACATACAGACCAGAATGGGCTGGTCACAATGTGTTGACTTTAGCAGGAATTTACCTGGCAAGCTGCCAAAATTACAAATTTAAAAACAGTCACTAGTCTTCAATGATGGAGAGAAATTCTACACTGGAAGTTCCCTACAGGGATAAAATTGAAAGTTTATAAATGACTCCTACCTCATTCGCCCAAGGTCAGGAATAGGGAGACAAGCATCCTGCTATGCTCTACCCTGCTCAGACAACATCTGCTGAATGTTGTCCAGTACTGCATGATGCCATCTTGAGGGCAATGAAAAACTGGAGAGCGTCTGCAGGAGGACAACCAAAATGGTGGAGGGCCTTGACATCATGCAATTTGAGGACCGGCTGAAGGAACTCAGATGTTTAGCTCAGAGAAGACATGAGTCATGGGAAGAGGAGGATGAGAGCTGTCTCCAAGTTTCTGAAGGGCTATCCTGTGGAAGAGGGGTCAGCCCTATTCTTCTTAGACTCAGAGGGCAGAACCAGGAGCAGTGGAGGCAAAAGACAGCTGAAGAAATACAGATTTAGGCTCAAGGTCAGGAAAAAACTCAGTAACTGGAGCTGTCCAAAGTGGACTGGCCTACCACTGGAAGTAGTAGGCTCCCTGTCACTAAAGGACTTCAAGCAACAACCATTGTCAGGCATACTGTAGAGAGGACTCCTGTTCAGGTAAGGCCCTTGGCGGGCCCTCAGAAATCTGAGCATCTGAGATTCTAGGTAGTGTTTAATATACACTTACTAATATCTAGGTAAAGGAACCAATTCTCTTCTGAAGCATAGTCCCATGAAAGGGCCTCCTAAGAAATTTTTTTCAAATAAACTACCAAAAAAAAAAAAGCAACAGGTGACTGAAAATAGAAGTTTCAGGAATGGTAAAAATCTTTATTGGTGGAAGAAATTAAACACTAAGCATCTAAGCTAAAAAAAAATATACGTCTAATTTATATACTATTTGACTACTACAACACTTCTATTTAAATTATTAATTTTAAAATACTGATAAAAATCAATTACTAAGTAATTTTAAAAAAAGACATTTTTTCCAGTCACATGGACAACTGACCCCAGGAGTTCTACAATACGCCTTACTCTAGGAATGGGGCTCAGTATTGGGGAGGGCCTGGCTCAACGTGCCCCATCACAAAGCCAATTCCCTGGTGAAGCAGTGCTGAGGAATGGATGTCAGAGGTTGCCATTCTAAGGCAGGTTCATAGATACAAAAGGGCCCTTAGAACCAATACGTCCAAATTGATCATTTTACAGATGAGGAAACTGAGGCACAGAGAGGTTAAGTGACTTTGCCAGGGTCACACAGTCAGCCAACAAACATTTATTGCACCTCCTATGTGCCAATCTGCTAAGCACTGGAAGTATGTGAGGCAGGATTCAAGCTCAGTTCTTCCTGAGTGCCCAGAACTCTATCTGCTACGTGCGACCTGGCTCTCTCATAAAGGAAAGGGGAAGATTTCACTCTTTATTGCCTAAAATATGAATTTAGGATCAGGTTCATTTAGGTATACTATTCACCGATTCCCATCAAAAATCCCTAATAACTTTCTTAAAATCTCTAAGTATAAATATATGTAGCATTTATTCTAATTCCTCCAAAATGCACTACTAAAAACAGGTCAGTGTTGCATTTCCCAACACTACTTACTGTGTTCAAAGAGATTTAGCAAAAACAACCTCCTTCCATTTCGGGACAATATGTTACAAAGAAGTGAACCAACCCTGACACCTCGCCCTGGCCAATGAAGATGGTCACCATTTGCTCATACTTGGAGGGTGTTCGAAACAACCAAGAGAGATGCTACCAACTTGACTTTTTAGTGCTACAAAGAATTTTGACAGATTTTGATTTATCCTGAGGGTAAGTAGAGGGATTTTAAGTATAAAAATGTGATTTAACTAGTGAAAAAAGATAGATTTAATCTAATTCACTGATACAATGCATGGGTTTACTAAGTGCTCATCCTTGTTATTACAGGTGAGGGGTGACCTGGCCTCAGAAAAAGAAATACGCCAGCGGGCATCCACAGGTCAGTTTGCTGACTTAAGAGGAAGTAAAAACATCTTCGTTTCTCCACTTCAATTCCCAAAGTACATTGGATCTGATCACCGGAATTTATGAAGGTTTATGAAAACATTATCACAGGAAGAAACAATAATCAATTCAAGTTTTAAATAGGCTAAATAACTAGCCACCCATATTAATTAAGAAATTACATTTATAGTTCGTTAACTATGACAGGCTTTTTAGCCAAAGCCAATTACTGCTTGGTTCCTATCCATCACACAGCAGATCCACCTGTTACCCTATTTTAATTCAGAAAATGGACACAGCAGAATACAATAGAAAGAGCACGCTAGATTTGGAGGCAGGGGTCTGGGGTCGCGTCCCCCTCTGCCCCTAATAACCTAGGGGGCTTTGGAGAAATCACTCTCCTTATCTGGGGATTGGATTGCAGGATCTCCCAAGACCTCCAGGCTTCAAATCTCATGATCCTTTGAATCGAAAAGGCGCTACCTACCTGCCACTCGACAGCATTACTTTGCTATTTACAATTCTACAGCAAGAACTGATTAAAGCTGCTACTCTGCAAAAGTCAACATGCAGAAACAAAACAACTCCTGTCCTCCAGAAGCTTCCGCTCTGCTAAGGTTCCCAGAACAGAGCCTTTGTCCAAATATGTAAGTACTCAGGACTTGGTCTAGCCACAAGGCTAGTTAGTTATCGCAGTTGGCGTGTTCCAACACTGTTGGGGCTTCTGCGGACTCTCTGGACAAATGAGGAAAGCATCTGGCATCATTCACGCTCCACACCATAATTCTAGCTTGGACTTGTTTTCTTAAGTCAGCAAATCTAAACTGCTGTTTCCAAGTAAAGGACATTTGAAAGTATTTGGTGTTACTGGTAACCTCTCCAGGGCAACAACAGAAACAGAAGGAAAAGAGATCAACTGGCAGCTACAAAAACTGTGCAGAAGCTACAAAAACAAGAGCTCCCAGTGCCTAACCTTGAGGATCGACCACTTTAACCTCAGAGTTTTTCAATTTTCATTTTCATTATTACTGGTCATTTGGAGCATTTTATTCGTACACCTACTGATGATTAAAATTCTTGTGGAAACCGTTTGATCATTTATAGACTGAGAAATGGTTCTTGGTTTTACATATTTGTGTCAATTCTCTATATAGTTGGGGATGGAAATGTACATGTTTATGTGCAGATGAGCGGGCACATAGTTTCCCCCTAAAATTGGAAACCCTTACACAAATAAAATAAATACAGCTGAAATAAAAGAAACCACTGAGTGAAGAAAAAAAATCATTGCATCAAAAATCACTGATAAAAGTCAAGCTGTATACCTAAATACATATACAGTATATTATATATGTATATATGTATGTATATTCAACCTATTATATAGACCACTGCACTTGCATTATGCAAGGAATATATAAATATCTAAGACTAAAAGTGATATCTCATGTAAACTTTTTTTTCCTACTCAGTGGTTTGTCTTCTTATCCTAGCTACATTGCTTTTGTTCATGCAAAAACCTTTTCAATTTCAAGAAGCACTGGGGCAGGACTTTATAATGTGATTCATTCTGAGTATAACCCTGGGGTTGCATTGGGAAACCTATAGGTAAAGATTCTTGGTCTTCTGATGAGAAAACAGAAAGCTTCCACATGGCATAAGTAAGCGAGCACACTAAATAATTTGGTTACTAACCCTCAGGCTTCCGCGACTACCCACTGACATGCGCTCATCTTCATCAGAAGCCTATTGGAAAAGAAAGGATGAAAAGAAACACATGAAATGGTAGAAATAACACAAAGGATGGCATCAATGCCAACAGTCTCAGTGAGAAACAAAACAAACCCACCAGCTGGATTTACACCACAACAGAATCAGATTCAAGCTGATGATGAAGTGGGTAAAATTCATGAATCAGGTGAGGGGCATATCACAATGAGAGCCCATACCTTCACTCTCGAGGAGCAAGGAGGATGAATCCCAAATAATCCATCAGACATGCTCACTGCCTTGGTACATACCTGTTGACATTTGATTCTGCCCGGATCTACTATGCTCACTTTCTTAAAATGAAATTATTTAACAGCATGTGGTAATTTATAAATGCACATATTCAGTATATCATAAAACACCCTTTTTCCCATTAGGCAAAGGAAAAAAATGGGGGAAACACACACAGGCTGCCATCTATTCCTTGTTAATAACCACACTTTCGAACGCTTCTAAAAACACCAAAAAGTGAAGGCAAAACATCCCCCGCAACTTTCCCAGTAACTGCCTAAGTCACAGCCCGTACTTAACCACCGGATCAGTCACCTCCTTCCAAGAGGCCCGTGGAAGTAAATGTTTATGTTAGCAACCACATGCACAAATAAGACATCAGCTCTGGGTGAAGGCCTAAGGAAGGAACAAAGACCGTACTAACCGATGGATTTCTTCGGAATCTATGAGAGTACCGCTCGCTCTCTTCCTAACGAAGCAAAGGAAGAAAGAACAGTAAAACGTTGAAAGCAGAAATGTCAAAAATGCTTTGGGGAAAAAAGAAACCTTGATATTCTAAGGAATAGTCTTAATGAGACAAAACAATCTAATAGCTGGGACTAACTTCCCTAAGAAAAGCTATAATTTGTCTTCTGTATTTCATTTTCCTTTGGGTATTTTTTTTTTGGCAACGTAATATTTCTTCCATGAACATCAAATAACTGTTTTTTTGGGTTCTTTTTTTCTTTCTCTCTCTTTCTTTCTTTCTCTCTCTTCCTTCCTTCATCTCTCTCTCTCTCTCTCTCCATCTAAGAGTTTGTACCACAAGCCTTTATTTATTTGAGCTATGACAGAAAACCTCAGAAGGGGATTGTGGGGGCAGTAAAAGTAGCCAGAGGCAGGTATTATTCCTTGTATTGACCAAGGATAAAAGGGATGGGGGCAGAAGCTCGGTGGGGCTCTCTACTCTGGTGTGAATTACCCAGAAGACAGCAGGCAAGTGTGCCTGGATACCAAAATGAACTTGATCAGACTATTCATTGCTAGCAGCCCTCACTACGCTTTACTTCTGAACAACAGATGCCCACGGTTCCCCTGTAGGGCATAAAGTGGTTTTTTCCTTTTTTTTTTTTTTTTTTGGTATACCAGAAACTGCCCTGCTGTCTCTGACACAAAAGGCTCTCATGATTTTATGAGAAAAACCGAGTCTCCCTTTCAAAAAACGGTTGTATACCACCTAGCTTGATGGAGGGCAGCCCCTTTTCCCTAGGTAGCTTGGCAGGCCTAGAGATTAATTACCATGAGTTCGTCTTTTTTGGTAGAATCGGTTTCAGAGTGGGCTCTGTTCACCCCGAAGGATCCCCAGGGAATGGAAAAGCTCTGGTTAACTGAATATGCTGGTTAACCTCTCTATGGTATACCTCCAACAATGATGAGGCTGGGCTTGTGATTACATTGGTACAAGGAACTCCTTCTGGCAAACCAGCGCAGCACTTTCTCTTCAATTTACAAGCTCAGAGAGTTGGGGGAGGGAAGGGGAAAGGGGAGGGGGCGATGAGGTGTGAATGGACATGGTATCTACGACAGCAGGACTGTCGTAGATAGTCCTGGCTTCAAGGATGGCTCTCTATCCACTACTTCCCACTGCCCCTCCTCAATTTCAAAGAATCCCCACAAAAACTACACTGACTTGTTCCCCTATAAATCTGATTCAGTTCTGGATTTGGCAATCCCTTAAAGCAAAGGCATCAAACTCACAGCCTAAATTCCAATTAAACCAGATTAAAATGTAATTGGAAATGTTCAATAAAATAAATAAAAATACAATACAACATAGATAATGTTAATTTGTGGCTTTCTAAGGTTTCTATTTGAATTTCATACCACTGTCTCAAAGGAGGCCATGATCTTCCTATGCTACTAAAGAAAACCATTGGGCTCTTTCTGTTGGGAAGAGTTTTGGCAAACTGGAGTTTACTTATCCACATTCCTCTAAATGAATATCAAATCTTAAGCTCATTGGGTCATGAAGTCATTTTATACCACTTGGTGAGGCAGCTGAATGAATCTGAGATATTATTTAGCACATGCTGTCACCTGGTTGGGGAGAGGGGGAAGGGCAGATGAAAATGGACTGACTCCACTGGTTAGACTATGACCCAATTAGTTTTACAGATCAGATCTTCATTTCTGTCTTTCTTTCTTTCTTTTTCTTTCTTTCTTTCTTTCTTTCTTTCTTTCTTTCTTTCTTTCTTT